TGTGTTATTTGCTTTGTGACAATTGGATTATCTTTCTTTCCCTGTCAGGTTTGGTTTCCTCCTCCTTTTCTTTACCTCTTTGCCTTTTGGCTGCGTGCAAGTGGGTCCTTGTGACACACGGGGATGGATGGCAGCCAGAGCTCAACCTGTCATCCACGTGGCTGGCCTTGTACGTAGGAGGTGATGAACAGGTGGGGCTTTCCTTCCTGACTTTTTTTCTTTCCCTTCCTTGTTTTGCTTTTTCCCGCCTTTGCGCTCCGATTCACAGTGTGACAATATATATTTCGGCGAGCGTAGCGGTGCTTTCATGTGGGACCAGTCATCCAGGTTCTCTTTTATTGTCTTGGCATCCTAGTTGGTTGCTTCCCGTTGTTCGGCCTGTGTGAGGGGGTGGTGCTTCATGTGGGAATCGTCATCTGGGATTGTCTTTTATGTTTTTTGTCCCAGTAAGAATGGTTTACAAATGGGAATACCCACGTCTTGGTGACGAACAAGGCCATCTGCTGTATATAGATATGTAATCTGGGATTTTTCTTTTTTTGCAGACAAGAGTTTTGTCCTGGGTGGTCTTGTCCTGTCGTTTGGCCTGTGAAGGATGGGCGGTGCTTGCATGTGCGACTTGTCATCTAGGATCTGTTATGTTGTTTCCCCCTGTTTTGTTGTATTTGGCTGTTCCCTTCCTCTTTTCTTTGCCTCTTTGCCCTTTGGCTGTGTGCAAGTGGGTGGATATGACACACGGGGGTGGGGGCAGCCGCCGCTCAACCTACATCCACGTGGGCGGCCTTGTACGCAAGAGGTTCTGAACAGGGGGGGAAGTTGTAAGAAAGAAGATAAAAAAACGAATAATTTATTTTCTTGTTTTCTTCTGTTTTTTTTCGCCTTTGCGCTCTGATATTCGTGTGTATGGATTAATCCCAAAAGTTCGGCCGTATGGTTATTCTTTTTTCAAGTGTTTTTGGTCTAATGATGATGATTTTAATGAGTTCGACAGATTGCTGAATATAATCTTTGTTCTTTTTCTCTCTGTGTGTCGTATTTTCAATTTGGCAGATCACGACACGTGTCAATCTGTGATGGATTCCGCTCTCAGCCCCTGTCTCACCCAAGTGGCGCACAGTTTGACACATTCAGTTCCCGCCACCAGTCGGTCGATCTACAGAGAGGCGGGAACTACCGAGTGCCGGCACGTGTCACGCCAAGGTTCACGCCACGCATCCCGCCACGTTTCCCGCCACGTTTCCCGCCACGTGTCGTCATCTTTATCGGCCACGTGGAGAACTGATACATCCAATAATGATGAGGTACAGCGAGCGACTTACCGACCAGCCGCTCTGTCAGTCTCGTTCCAAGAGCACACAGCTGTGGGGCAAGATGTCCTGCGACCGGTCCTGCGACCAGTCCTGCGTTACCGATCCCACAGAGTGGGAGTGTGTAGGACCTCATCGACATCGGCGTGGAATCGCTGCCACGTGGACGTTCGGGGCTTGATGGATGGCGACTTCAGGAATACTCTCAAGGTGCCAAATGCCACGTGGCATGCCTGCGAGGGAGGAGAGCTGCATCCACGGAGAAATGCAACAACACGAGAGCTGTCGATCTTGCCGCAGGATGATGAGGAGGAGCTTTTCAAGATCAAGAGAGATGAGGGATGCTTCAAGGGGGTGATAGGCCATCGAATCGCGCTCAAACTGTTAGAGGTACAAAAAATGGCGGCAATGTAGGCAAATTTGTTTCCTTTTTCGGAAAATAAACAAATTGTATTCTGAAATACCCCTAGAAGATGCGTATATAGCGGAATACCCCTCTGAAATTTCGAAAGTAAAAAATAATAATAATAATAAAAAAGAAAAAAAAATTCAAAAGTTTGTGAAATGCCCTTCAAGAGAGATGAGGGATGCTTCAAGGGGGTGATAGGCCATCGAATCGCGCTCAAATTGTTAGAGGTACCAAAAATGGCGGCAATTTAGGCAAATTTGTTTCCTTTTTCGGAAAATATGCAAAATGTATTCTGAAATACCCCTAGAAGATGCGTATAGAGCGGAATACCCCTCTGAAATTTCAAAAGTAAAAAAATAAAAAAATAATAATAATAAAAAATCAAAAGTTTGTGAAATGCCCTTCAAGAGAGATGAGGGATGCTTCAAGGGGGTGATAGGCCAACGAATCGCGCTCAAACTGTCAGAGGTCCAAAAAATGGCAGCAACACCCCTGAGCTGTTGAAACACAGGCTCAGGGGTGTTGCTGCCATTTTTTGTACCTCTAAACCACTAGTACCTTTGCCGCTTGGGAAAATAGCGGGCCTCGGGTAGGCGTCCGACCTTTTCAGAGGCCGAAACGAAACGACGGCCGCCGATCAGATTTATCAATGGCAGTCGTCGTCGGGCCCGACCTCCGAAAATTCAGGCGATTGGGAAAATAGCCAGTTTTCCCTATTTTCCCACGCGGGAAAGGTACTAGTGGTCTAACAGTTTGAGCGCGATTCGATGGCAAACTGGAAGAGGGGTGCAAAAGGGCGCGCTCAAACTGTTAGGGGTACAAAATGGCGGCAACACGCCGAGTTCGAACTCAACTGGAAGCAGATGAGCGAAATACTTGAATTCTTTCTGAATTACCTAGGGTCGGTCAGTGCGATGATGATATCAGAAGGCCGTCGTACTTTTCTTAAAAAAAAAACACAACAACACATTTGCATATTTTTCGAAAAACTTTTTTTTTGAAAACGATTTTCGGAAAATACGCAAAATGTGTATGCTGAAATACCCCCCCCTAGAAGATGTGTGTAGAGGGGAATACCCCTCCGAAATTTCAAAAGTTTGCGACATTCCCTTTCGGATTTACAATTTTGCAATCTACCCCTGTCGGGGTGTTGCACAAATTTGTGTTCTGCGCCTGACAGGGGCTCAGCACAAACTTGGCAACCCTCTGACAGGGATATAATGCAAACATTTAAATCCACAACTGGCCGAAAGGTCATTTCACAAACCCTTGAAATTTCAGAGGGGTATTCCGCTCTACCTGCATCTTTTATTTTAGGGATAGTTTGGCATATTCGTGAACTTTCAGGGTATTTCGCAAATTTCCCCCTTTTTTTTCCTCTTTTGTTTCCAATTCTGTTTTTTTCTCCAAAAGTGAAAACTGAGGTGCAAAATGAATGCACTTTTGCCTGGCCGATAATATCCCATTCATTTTCTTCTTCCCTTAAATTCTTGTATTCATCTCCTCCTCCTCCTTCTCCTTCTTCTTCTTCGTTTATCTTCTTCTTCTTCTTCTTCTTCTTCTTCTTCTTCTTCTTCTTCTTGTTGCTGTTTCTCTTCTGGCACCTCCCTCCTCCCTCCGTATGTTATTCCTCTTCCTCCTCTTCCTCCTCTTCCTCCTCTTCCTCCTCCTCCTCGCCCTGCTCCATCGCCTATTAAGAAAGAACTTCATTTCTCGTTATCTGACTTCGTTATGTCTCATCTCCTCATCCACCTCCTGCTCGTTGTCCTCCCTTGTCCCTTCTCCTCTTCGTCTTTTTTCTCCCATTTGTTTTCCTCGTGCTCCTCATTCTCCTTTAGTCCTGCTCTTCTAGGTCGTCCGCCTGCTTTTTCATCATCAATTCCTCGTTTCTCAGATTCCTGTCCTTTATCTCCTTATCCTCTTGCTTGATCTTTCCTCGTGCTCTCTCGCTTTGTCCTCCTCTTCCTCCCCCTCCTCCCCTTCCTCCTCACCCTCCTCCCCTCCTCCCCTCCTCCCCTCCTCCTCCTCCTCCTCCTCCTCCTCCTTCTTCTTGTACTTAGTTTTATCCAATTGATCTTCCATGACAATTGCCTGCGGATGCCCGCAGCGGCTATGCCTGCAGGCGAAACCTGCTCCAGGCGGTACTATGTGGGCTGGGCGGAATCACGTGGACAGGGTGGCACTATGTGGGCTGGGTCATACTATGTGGACTGGACGGTATTAACACACACAGCCATAAAACACACACGCACACACACACACACACACACACACACACACACACACACACACACACACACACACACACACACACACACACACACAGAGCCACGCAAACACACACACACACACACACACACACACACACACACACTTAGGCACACACCGCCCTTGGCACGGCTGTGGTACTATGTGGTCTGCGCAGTATTATATGGCCTGCGTGATGCTATGTGGGTTGGATGGTACCATTGGACCAGCTGGCACCATGCGGGCCAGGCCAAACTATGTGGACTGGATGGTACCATTGGACCAGGTGGCACCATGTGGGGCAGGCCATACTATGGTATACCGTGTGGTCTGCGCAGTATTATATACCCTAACACACACACACACGCTGACAAAAGAAAAAGAAACAAGAACACAGAAGCCGCCCCAAAAAAAACATGACTTACATCACACACACAATCCGCCCCTTGCCGCGGCACTATGTGGGCTGAGCGGTATTATGTGGCGGTATTATGTGGCCCCCAACAACGACCAACACCCCCCCCCCC